GCTCCGGGCACCCACCAACCTGGGCCGCGCGGATTGGCCGCCGCCCCCGAAGCCTGCCGGGAAATGTAGTGCGGCAGCCCGGATGCGCGCCGCCCCTGGCGCGCGGGGCATGCTGGGAGCTGTAGTTCCCCCGGGCGGGCTGCCTGGGAGTTGTAGTTTTCGGGGGGAGGCCGAAGGTAAAGGAGGGGGCGGGCTCCGCCCGTCGCGAAGCAACGAGGGGGCGGGCGCCTGAGGGGGAGGCGGCCATTTTGGGCCCTCAGGGAAGGGTGTGTGGGCGGCCCTCAGCGCCTTTGCCTGGAGTGGTCTGCTCTTCAGGAGTACCAAGCCGAAAAGGCCCGTCCACATAAGTTAACCCGCCCCCAATTCCTGCTTTATCAGGCCTTGCGCTGCCTCTCTCCTGTCCTCACTGACCTGCATCTCCTGGGGCAAACCCTCCCCGAGGGGAGCGGAGGTGTCGCCCAGAAGCTGACTGCCCAGCGGGCCAGGGGAGGGCAGAGACCAACGCCACTGCTGGAAAACCAGCAGAAAAGGGGAAAAGAAATGCCTGCTGCTATCCTAAGGCGCCAGGGACATGGTCAGGGGCAGGGCAGCATCTGGATGCAAGACCCAGAGCTGCCGAAGGCTGAATTGACCTTTAATGAAAAACATGTAATCAGCTACTTAGGCTGAAAGCTCATCACGCTGGGAGCCTTTTTTATTTTCCCAGTGTTTGTAGCCCCAGGATGCTGTGGCCAACCCAATCAACTGTACCAACCCTACGCAGAGAGCAGCTGAATGGCTCCAGCAGACAAGCGACCATTTTGTTCCCAATGACCTTTAAACTCACAAAGCGTGTTTCTCTCCATCCCAGAGATAAAGTGGCTGATAGTCACCGGCTTTTCCAGTTTGCTGCAGCAACTAGCCACCAGTTTCATTCTTGGTAACTGAGTCATTATCAGAAGTTTGCTGTGGAAGAGCTGGGGTGGGTTTTGTTGTGTATTTTTTTTTCTTCTTTGTGAAGCATAATTAATAAAGGAAGAATTAACAAATAATGGAAGCATTCCGAAGTCCAGTATATGTTTTTGGTTTTAGTCAAAATAGATTTAATACAGCTTTGCAGCTTTTAGCTGGCAAGTTTTGTTAAGAAAAAAAAGCAAACAAAACCAACTTAAATAGTATTTTAAAAATACATTTCCCTTTAACTCTCAGAAATAATGTAGCATGGGCACATTACCAATGCTCTAAAGCAGATAAATTTAAAGGGAAGAATAGTACCAGTCGGTGACTGCTGCTTATGTGGTTTTGCTTTTGCTTGCAAGGCATAGCTTTTCCCCAGTTTAACAATTACCAGTGGTGTCCAGGCTGCTGTCGATAATAATGCTACACAACACAGGAATGATAGAGACTCTGATGAAGGAGGTGTAAAAGAAAATAGAACTTCACGTCTGCAAATCGATTCTGCAGTTTTCCAATTTCCCCATTCAGCAACGGCACAGCCTGTGAAATTGTCCCTAGAAATATAAAACGAAGGGAAGGAGAATACCTCCACTCTTACCTTTTAGCAAATGACATTGCCTGATACAGTTCATTTCCTTTGGTGTGGACTGGGCTGGGCTGGGTTACTGTTCGAAATGCAGAAGCGAAATGGAGAATGTTTTTAAATATAGATACCGCATTGAACCAGTACTTCAGAGCACAAGGTGTTCTCGAAATAGCTTACCTTTGTAAGGTTTTTGGTGAAGCAAATAAATTGCCATACAAACAGGTTTAAACATTCTTTAAGAGGCATTGATATCAGCGCTTTCTCTTAGTCTGAAGTCTTTCTTAAGTGTAATACACCAACACCCACTTTGCTCTCTGGAAATGTTAGCACTCCCTAGCACGCAGAAGATTTAGCACAGTGTAGCGGTCCCATGGAAGTCCAGGGACCTGGCTCTTTCACCCAGCTCTGCATATTATTTGCTGGATCTCTCAGGTACCAAATGAGAAGCATGTTGCCTGTGGAAGTTGCTCTGAAATCCGTGGCAGTCACCTAGCACCTTAAAGCTAGGTATTTTAAATGGCATTTGCATTACACACAAATATTAGAACTGGTTCTTTCAGAAATTACAAGATGCTTAATGACTACCAGCTCCCTTTCCTTCTGCTGTATACTTGTCTTTCTCTCTTCTGTCATTGTTTTGCCTGGGAAGCGATGCAGGCCTGCTATTTGAGCATAGAACTAGAAGTCAGAAAACTGGGTTCTTGGCTTGGTACTGACACTAATTTACTATGTGCTGTTGATCAAATAATTTGATTTCATGGATTTTGGCTTCCCAGGAGACAATGGGGACCTCTGAAATCCTTAGAGATATATTGATGTAAATTCCATTTGTCAATATTATAATAACTTCTGGTAGAATGTTTTTGTTGGCTTTTTTGTTCCTTGGCGTTTTTTTAATTCTTCTGGTCAGCAATGTACTGAAACTGATTATACCATTTTAAGATTTTGCAAGAATCCAAAATGTCCTGGTTATTGAGGGATGCTTTCATTTATGCTTTAGTTTCACACCTAATTTATCATTCCTGCAGATATATCTTGAAAACATAGAGCTGAAAACACTTGATGGACGAAGTTTTTTTTTCCCATTTGATATTCCAAAGGTTCAAAAATAAAAATAAAATAATATCAACTGAGAAGGAACACA